GATTTTATATCCTGAGACTTTGCTGAAGTTGCTTATCAGTTTCAGGAGTTTTTGGGCTGAGATGATGGGGTCTTCTAGATATACTATCATGTCATCTGCAAATAGAGACAATTTGGCTTCTTCCTTTCCTATTTGAATACCCTTTATTTCTTTTTCTTGCCTGATTGCTCTGGCTAGAACTTCCAGTACTATATTGAATAGGAGTGGAGCAGAACTGAAGGAGATAGAGTCACAAAAAAACCCTTAAAAAAATCAATAAATCCAAGAGCTGGTTTTTTTAAAAGATCAACAAAATAGACAGACCACTAGCCAGACTGATAAAAAAGAAAAGAGAGAACAACCAAATAAATGCAATAAAAAACGATAAAGGGGAAATCACCACAGATTCCACAGAAATTCAAACCATCATCAGAAAAGTACTACAAACAACTCTGTGCACATAAACTAGTAAACCTGGAAGAAATGGATAAATTCCTGGACATCTGTGTCCTCCCAAGTCTAAACCAGGAGGAAGCCGAAACTATGAACAGAGCAATAACAAGGTCGGAAGTCAAGGCAGCAATTAAGAGCCTACCACACAAAAAAAGCCCAGGTCTAGGTGAGTTCACAGCTGAATTCTACCAGACACACAAAGAGGAGCTGGTACCATTTCATCTGAAACTATTCCAAATAATCCAAAAAGAGGGAATCCATCCCAAATCATTTTATGAGACCAATATCATTCTGATACCAAAACCCGGCAGAGACTCAACAAGAAAAGAAAACTTCAGGCCAATATCCATGATGAACATAGATGCAAAAATCTTCAATAAAATATTGGCAAGCCGATTGCAACAGCAAATCAAAAAACTTATCCATCATGATCAAGTAGGATTCATCCCGGGGATGCAAGGCTGGTTCAACATATGCAAGTCTATCAACGTAATTCACCACATAAACAGAACCAAAAACAAAAACCACATGATTATCTCAATTGACGCAGAGAAGGCATCTGACAAAATTCAACAGCCTTTTATGCTAAAAACCCTCAATAAACTCGGTATTGATGGAACATATCTCAAAGTAATAAAAGCTATTTATGACAAACCAACAGCCAATATCATACTGAATGAACAAAAACTGGAAGCATTCCCTTTGAAATCTGGCACCAGACAAGGATGCCCTCTCTCACCACTCCTATTTAAAGGAAATGTTTCTAAAAAACATTGTACATTAAACAGCTCTATTAAAATTGGATTGTAAATGATTAAACACTATATCTTGGAAATTACCACAGTTCTTCATTTTGCAGTGAGTCCAGTTAAATTTTGCCTGCACTTTTATATGATAAGATGTAAGGAGAGGATTCCCATGGTGAATTTCTGAATGGAAATTGTGGAGGTATTGGCAGAGACATGTTGAGCCACAGGACTTTCCTGATACCCTTTAAAAACCTACCTGGGCCAGGCATAGTGGCTCACACCTGTAATCCCAGCACTTTGGGAGGCGGAGGTGGACAGATAATGAGGTCAAGAAATCAAGACCAGCCTGGCCAAAAAGGTAAAACCCTATCTCTAGTAAAAATACAAAAATTAGCTGGGTGTGGTGGCACCCACCTGTGGTCCCAGCTACTCAGGAGGCTGAGGCAGGAGAATCGCTTGAACCTGGGAAGCAGAGGTTGCAGTGAGCTGAGATCACGCCACTGCACTCCAGCCTGGCACACAGAGTGAGATTCTGTCCCCAAAACAAACAAAAAACCCTACTTGTAGAGATGCACTTATTTGCTCTCTTGGTACATCTCCAGTCTTGGTACATCTTTGGATTGTGGATGAAGCAGGAGAACATTTCTAGGTCTAGAAAAAAATTACATTCTGCAGCTAAATGATTTTTAATTTTTGGCAGCACATATTGTACATATGTTCTTGTCACTCTAACTGAACACTGGTCTGCACTGGAGTAAGCACTCAGAACAGAAACTTTGTTCCACTCATGTGAAGAACAGAATATTTTCCATTTGTCCTTGTCAAAAAATTATTTGTTCAAAACAAATCATTACAGCAGGGAAAATTAAACTGGTATAATGCAATTCAGTTGACACAGCAGCATGTAGGCATTGCTGCTTTAACATGTTAAGTGTCTTGGAAAAACTTCACATTCAGCAAAACGTGCACTAAGTACAAAATGTTCACTAAGTGACAGGACTTGTAGGGCAAATAGAGGACAGGCCATTCAAAAGCCTCTACGGCTGCAGCCACGGCCTGAACAAAAATGATCGTTGGTACCTAGAAAAATAATGTGTCTCTCCTGCCAGGCATGTAGCTGAAGGTTGCCACGCCAATCATTTAGAAGTCTCGGAAGTGTCAATCCCGTAGAAGTAGAGAGTAGAATGGTGGTTACCGGGGGTGAGGGGCACGGGAGAGGAGTGAGGAGATACTGGCAAAGGGTGGGAAGTTTCATTTCGGCAGGAGGAGTAAGCTTTAGAGTGCTATTGCACAGCAGCATTGCCAGAGTTACTATTGATGTATAGTTCAAAATTGCTGAAGATAAATTTCAAATAGTTTACTGCAAAAAAATGATAGGTAAGTGAGGAGGTGGATGTGGTAGTTAGCTTGGTTTAATCATCTGCATTGTGCACTTAGATGAAAACATTACATGGTACCCCAGAAACACATACAATTATGAAGAAAGAAATTACTTTTAAAATAGCAAAAAATAAAAGTTGTTTTAACATGAACAAATAAAAATTCTCAGAAGAGTTAGAGGCTATATGTTGGCAACCCTTTTGCTGGAGCAGGGCAGGTGAGAGCTTAGACAGTGCTGGTGGGGGGAGCTAGTAGGGCTGGGAAATGAGAGCGCTAAGGGTGGGCTTAACTTTCTCCCCTAGAGAAGGATCTCTGTCCAAGTGCTCACATTTAATTTTTTATAATAAAGTCAAAGGGATCCTCCTGCCTGTATAACCTCAAAGCTGAGAGTTTGGTATTTTTTATCCCCCACTGAAATGTATACCCATCTTCCTATTTCCCTCCTGTTGCCAGGAAAGAGCATGTCTAAATTATATTTACATGATTTCCCTCGTTATCAATAATGGATGAGCGAAGATGCAATACAGAGGCATATGTGGTAGCTAAACAGATTGTTGATTAAAATAACTTTTTCTGATTATAAATGTAATTTGCCCTTATAATAAATTTGGCAAATATAGAAAGGTACACAAAATTAATGTTGGTTTATAAGAAATAAACTACTGTTTTAAGAAAACGGTGATTTATTTCCCTCTGGTCTTTTTTCTATACATTTTTTAAAAATATAATTGGGATATACTGTGGATGCAAATTTGTATCCTTTGTACTTATATTCTGCATTTTTCCATTTTATTAAATACAAGTCAAAATTTTGAACTATCATTTAATAAAACCTGTACTTTTGGATAATAACATTATTTTAAATTATGATAATAAACACTGTCTTTGATTAATTCCTTAGGCCGGGTTGCTAAGGAGGAAATAATTGAGTCAATGGGTGCAGACACCCCTTTTAAAAAATAATCTGAGGATAGTAAACTTTTATTTTTTGTGATTTTTTTTTTTTTTTTTAAACAGAACCTTTAAAAAAAAAAAGCCAACAGTAAGCTTTGCATATTGGCCCTTCTTTACCAGGGAGATATCACTTATTCAAATGGTGGTATATCAAACGTGTATTTTCCTCACAACTAGGTGTTTGCCCCTGTATGGGATTTGGTAATCAGGAAAATACCTGCCTGGTAAGAGCTCATATTCAGCACATCCCTGATGATCAACAGGTCTAGCATATGCCATGACTGTGTCATGTATACAAGCTAAGCCAAGCATCTAAAAGCCGACATCCATCTTGCTCTTTCAACTCAACTCCAATTCTCCTGTATATAATTTTCCGCCCTTCTCCTCGCCTGCTCTGTGTCCCTGTCATCTGTCTTATCCTCGGCCTCATGATTATGTCTGGCAGTAACTCTGCTTTAAAGTCTGCACCCGTCCCTAGTCCAAGCTGCTTGGTGACATCACAACCTCCTGTGGGACTTCTGAGGTAATTTGGCTGAAGAGAGGAAGCAGAGTTCCCTGGGATCCTCCCGATTCTGAGGTCCCTTGGGTATAAACATGTGCAGAATGGTTGAAAGTACAGGCTGAGGAATAAGAAATGTCTGGATCTGAGCCCTTGCTCTTTTTTCTTGAGCAATAAGTGCTTGGTGTTGGGAGCGCGTGGCAGTTGTGGTATCTGTAGTAACAGCAGCAGCAACTGGGTACACTCAAACAATTGATCTTGATTAATTTACAAATCCAGGTAGCTTATTTTCTTTTTGAGAGGGACTGTAAAGACAATTTGGCCATCCTCTCAAATGGAATGAAAATAAACTGATATTCAATACAGAAGAAATTGCTTCTGTTAAACCTTGGGATATTGATGAGAGAAACCAAGTGAATCCAATAAAATAGAGGCAGATGGATGTACTAACAGTCTAAGCAGCAAGTGGTTTGGTTCGGTTCGGTTCGGTTCGGTTCGGTTCGGTTCGGTTCGGTTCAGTTTCGTTTCGTTTCGTTTCGTTTCGTTTGGTTTCGTTTCATTTCGTTTAGTTTGGTTCAGGGTATCGCTGTCGTCACCCAGGCTGGAGTGCAATGACATGATCTCAGCTCACTGCAACCTCTGCCTCCCGGGTTCCAGCAATTCTCTTGCCTCTGCCTCCCTTGTAACTGGGAATACAGGTGCCCACCACCACGCCCGGCTAATTTTTTTGTATTTTTAGTAGAGACACGGTTTCACCATGTTGGCCAGAGGCTGGTCTCAAACTCAGGTGATCCACCTGCCTCGGCTTCCCAAAGTACTGGGATTACAGGTGTGAGTCACCGCACCCGGCCACTAGCAACTGTTAAACCAGTGTCACAGGACACTTCATTACAGACAAGAAAGAGCCACTTCCAGTTCTCTGATATGTTTTAAAGAATAAAAAGTTATTCACACTGACTCAAAAGCTGACTTTCTTCTCTTTTCAGCCAGCCTATGTCCCAAGGAAGCTAATCCCAATAACAATCATCAAGCAAGGTAATTTGTCTGCTCTGGAAATGCATTTAAAGCAATCTTTAATATACTTTTAGCGGAGGTAATCAAACATGGCGCATATGTTCTCAATTTTTTGACTGATTTTTTTTGAGAACAAGTTTGAAGAAAATATTATGGTCTAGTAAACTGGAAGGTAATGGATAGTTTTGGCTGTTTTACCAATATGCCAAGCCTTGGGGTGGCCACACAGGTCAGATGACTAGGGACAAAAACCATCACAAGTATTAAATTTTTAAAAGCAAGTTAAATATGTGGAGCGTTGCCTAGGATTAAGTTGTCATACACTAAGAAACCCACTGATAGGATATTCTCTTAATGGAAATGATTTAGTGGCCACTTTAGGGAAAGTGAAGATGTCCAGGTTTCCAGAATTAGAATGTCATTTCACTTCAGTATCTGATTGTTTTTGTTTTGGCATTTGCTTTTCTAAATCATTAAAATCTATTATTTCCAGAAAGGTTCTTGGTAGAAGAGACAGGACCCTTAAAAAATATTCCTCATTTTTCAAAAACACAGCATCCCCAGGGTATTCTCAAAACAGAGTCAGTTAGTGTTGATATTACTCAAAGATTCTTTGCTTTAAGAAAATAAATTTTCTGAATTTTTATTAGTGCGTCACCACCTCTTTTTGTGCTAGTACTGATTGATTTGGAGAAAAAGACTTCAGGGAATAGAGTTAGGAAGAAAATTTTTTAGTAATTAGAATGGGACACCTTATGATAGAATAATACCTTTCATTACTTAACGGCACAGGCGTTAAGGTAAGGTATGTCTTCCAGTCCTTCCATTGGCTACATAGCTGGCCCACTGAGTTGTTTTGTATTAATCAATAAAGTTAGTTCAAGACTTTCGCAGTGCAGATGGCTTCACATTATTAGCTTCTTATGCCTCTGATTTCCCCCCTCTCACTGTCTTTTTGTATTTCAACAGTGATTCAGAATGTTACTCACAAGGCTTCAACTAAGTCCCCAGAAAAAGCTCCCATGGGAGGAGTGATACTAGGTGAGTGTTATCTTGAAATCTGTGCCTAGATGAAGCAAATTCGGCTGTCTTTTGAGAATAGGGCTTTTACGGAGTTTTAAATTGATGCAGGTTCACTTCCTTTCATTGTTTAGCACACTGGCTCAGGTCCGTTCCAGGCTAGGAGCCAAGCTGTGCTATCTTTATCATGATGATGTGTTAAAGAAATAGCTCTAGAGCATGTGCAGTCGGAATGATGGCGCCTGTCCTACCTGCCCCACACAGTTGATTGCAATTAGGAGGGAGTCTTTGTCATACTGAACTGCTCGTTTATACATCATTATTATTGAAAAAGAACTTTGTCCACCACACATCTTAAGCAGCCAGTCTACAATTTTTGAGTCTATGGATTAAAAGTCAGGATTTTAGTTGTTTGGTTCTAAATACAAAAAATATTCCATTTAGGATGTATGGTCAGATCTTTCCCAACATTTTAAAGTGTGGGTTAAAATTGAAGCAAAATAACTACTCTGCTTCATAGTTTGTATCTGATGTGCTGAGCTTTATTTTATGTCATGACACACGTTCTTCTTCTTACCCTATTTACATCTATTTCCCTGCAGTCCACCTAATTATTCCAGGTCTTAATGAAACTACCGTAAAACTTCCTGCATCCCTAATGTTTGAGATTTCAGATGCACTCAAGACACAATTAGGTAAGCAGAAAAGCTTTGTATTTCAACTTTGCAATGACTGAGTACTAGCACTGATGTTCTTAGGAGATCCAAAAAATCTTGCCAATGAGCTAGTTGAGGATCCCAAGGTAAGAAAGCAGAGGCAAGGAGGTTGGAGTGTCGGAGGTGCTCAATATAAATAGCATCCTGTAAGAAAAGTTATCTTATATGTACAATTTATATAAGGTATTTACATGTATGAAATAGAGTGAATGTTCATAACATTATTCAAAATATAAATATATAGGCATAATTTTCTAATAAAGTAATTCTAAATTATACTTCCTATACTATTAAGGGGTGACTAGATATTTTCAATGAGAATTGATGTGAAGGTCAGGTCCATTAGAATTATTATTTACTTGAGATTGATACTGCTTTCTATTTCTAGAAGGAAGTGGTTATGAGTTTAGTGTTTCAAAAACACAAAATATAACAGTAAAAGAGAAAAAAAAAAAAAAAAAAAAAAAACCAGAAAATCCACTTAAAAAGGGACCAGGGAATAATTGTGGCTACCACTGGGCTGAGTTGGTTGCTGCATTTGTGTATCAAATTAGGTTCTGAATTGTCTCTTAGCAGAGACTCTCAAGCTTGATCAAACATCAGAAGCACCTGGAGGACTTGTTAACAGAAAGACTTGGCCCACTCCCCACTTCCAGAATTACTGATTCAGTAGGTCCAGTGTGGGGCCTGAGAATTTGCATTTTTGACAGGTTTCCAGGCGACACTACCACTGCTGGTCTAGGAACCACACTTTGAGAACTACCCCTCCAGTGTCTCTAGAGAATGTCTTGGCCTGTTCATCAATTTGGAGAAATAGTGTGGTAGAAACTGAACAAGATTTTTTTTTTTTTTGAGACGGAGTTTCGCTCTTGTGACCCAGGCTGGAGTGCAATGGCGCGATCTCGGCTCATCGCAACCTCCACCTCCTGGGTTCAGGCAATTCTCCTGCCTCAGCCTCCTGAGTAGCTGGGATTACAGGCACGCGCCACCATGCCCAGCTAATTTTTTGTAATTTTAGTAGAGACAGGGTTTCACCATGTTGACCAGGATGGTCTCGATCTGTTGACCTCGTGATCCACCCACCTTGGCCTCCCAAAGTGCTGGGATTACAGGCTTGAGCCACCATGCCTGGCCCTGAACAAGATTTAAGAATACAGAAGGTATCCCCTGAGCTAAGCACTGGCTATGAACTTTAATGTTTAATATCTGATTGAATCAGCACATTGTATGGATGAAGAAACAGAGGTCCAACCCCCTGTTTGGCAACATTCATTCAACAAATAAATACTATACATTACTACATGTCAGAACCACAAGTTGCTGGGGGCTATGATGCTGAGTTACCCAGGCATGGTACCTGCTCATACTGGGACCTCAGACAAGGCACTTACTTTCTCCTCCCTTACTGGGGTCCTTACCTATCCCCCCCCTTCAGCTGGCATTTCCACTTTTTTGGCTGAGAGAGAGACAGAAGAAATGGTAAATAAGATGTGACCCAAATATTTTTTAATTCAATAAAATACCATGAGACATCACAACAGGCTGGGGTCCTAGGTGGGCAGACCCTCTATCAGGCCAGGTCTTGCCGTGATCTCTCTGTTACTAAGAGCCTGCATCCACTGGGAACGAGCTCTTGATATTAAGTAGCTGCTGGTACAGTGCGGATCCCCCAAACCAATTACTCATTTCCCCTATCCCCCTTTCTCTCCCTGTCCTGGAGATTTATTGGGGGAAAAATATATCAAATCTAATGAGCTACCAAACTTTCATGTCTTTTTCCTGTTTCCAATTTTCTTCTTTGGGGAAGAGGGCGGGCCATGTGGAGATGCCCAGAAGTTTTATCCACATAATGTCAAGCTACTTAATTTTTTTTTAAACCCTGAAAGGAAATTGCTATCTCTGTCTCTTCATGTGTTTTTCAAATATCCAGACACTTAACTTTGCATAGTGTTACCTGAAAGTGTAAGTTAACTTTTTTTTTCCTTTTTTGCTTGTGTGATCTGAGGCAATCCAGTTATAAGAATTTTAAAAGGCAAGCTGTTCTCCTTAGGTGTTAATTTTGAGAAACTCCTGGAAGAAGAAAGAGGAAGGTCTTCAGTGAGTAGGAAAGCACTTAACTGGGGACTATCAGACTTAGAATTTTAGAAAATTTTCCAAAACTTATGGTTCAAAGTCTTAATAAGATGTGAAAATATTTGCCAATTATCTGTGATTTTGTGCAATCCTTATATTTTTACTTTAAAATAGTCATATCTAGTAGTCCTAGAGTGAGTTACTTCCCAGAAAATAAATAGATAAGTGACTCTGGACTTCCTTGTCTTAATTTGTACATCAGACTTGATCACTTCCCTTTAGCTATAAAATCCTGTGACCCAGCCCTACATTGCGTAAATGTGATGCTGCTGGGACGCTTCCTAATTAAGTTTCCTCAGTGAACCTGTGTTTGGAAGAGTTGGCGCTCAGGACTCTTGCATTCTCCTGTTCTCTGACAAGAGACTGTATACTTTATTCTGTGCCAAGGACTTGTGTGAAAGGAAAAATGGAGCCAACCAGTCTCTTATTGATTTGGTCCCTAGTGTGTCCATCAGAGCTACAGAAATCAGGGTTTGTGAAGGAGACTGAAAATGAGCAGGGGTGTTTCTCAGACCACTGCAATCAGTTTCTAACTGGAAGAGGTCATGGTCTGTTTCTCAGTGCTTAGTCTTGAGTGATATTTCCTAATCTTTTAAAAAATGTTTAATATTCCTCATGCTACCATCATACCAATTTAGCATTTTTGCTTTCTTTAAGGGATTAAAGTGGATTTTTGTCTTGTGATTTGTTTTTACTTTTGCTTTTCTTAATATGATCCACTGAAAATCCAGAATTAAGTATGATTTTAATGAAGAATTAAATGCAAATAGTAAAATGCAAATAATTACATCTATGAAAATAGTAAATATATTTTTTAACTTGACTTTTGAGGAAAATGCCTATCTTAAATTGAATTCATGTGGCAAGATGTGTTAGTTCGTGCCTGTAACTCCAGCCCTTTTGGAGGCTGAAGCCAGGGAATTGTTTGAGACTAGCAGTGCAAGATTAGTGTAAGCAATATAGTGAGACCCCATCTTTACAAAAAATACTAACATTTTAAAAATAGCCAGGCATGGTGGTACATGCCTGTAATCCTAACTACCCAGAAGACTAAGGCAGGAAGATCACATCCCATGAGTTTGAGGTTTCAGTGGGCTCTGATTGCACCACTGCACTCCAAGCTGGGCAACAGAATAAGACCTGGTCTCTTAAAGTAATGATGCTAATAATAATAGACAGAACACAGAAAATGTAACACATGGAGGATTTTTAACATGCTGTATTAGTCAATTTTCACACTGCTCATAAAGACATACCTGAGATTGAGCAATTTACGAAGTAAGAGATTTAATTGGACTTATAGTTTCACATGGCTGGGGAAGCCTCACATTCATGATGGAAGGCAAGGATGAGCAAGTCATGTCTTACACGGATGGCAGCAAAGAGAGAGAGAGCATGTGAAGGCCAACTCCAATTTTTAAAGCCATCAGATCTCATGAGTCTTATTCACTATCACGAGAATAGCATGGGAAAGACCTGCCCCTATGATTCAGTCACCTCCCACCAGGTCCCTCCCATAACACGTGGGAAGTCAAGGTAAGACTTGGGTGGGGACACAGCCAAACCATATCGCACACTGAAGAGATTGATAGCCAGTGTGTTTGAAAATGTCCAGTAAATCAAGGGAAAATCCTACCCAACAAATGTATCAACTTAGTTGACCATGTTTTTTTAAAAAACTACATATAAATTTTTTAAAACTTTTTCTTGTATATGCTTCAAGCATCCAACATGAACTTCTCTGAGATGTGTATGTAGTAAAATAGTTACTATACTCAAGCAAATTAGCATCCATCCTCTTGCACAATTACCCTTTGGGTGTGTGTGTGGTAGGAGTACCAGAAATCTTAACAATATTCCAATATACGATATTACAGTTCCTGTTTTCTACTTCGGATTTCTGGTGTTATTCATCCTATGCATCTGCAACTTTTTACCCTTTGTTCTACATTTCCCTATTTCCCACTCTCCATTGCATCCCTCATAAACAGTTTTATTCTCTATATATGTTACTTTTTTTTAAGACTCCACATAGTGAAATCATGCAGTCTTTTTCTTTCTGTGCCTGGCTTATTTCGTTAAGCATAATGTCCTCCAGGTGTTTCCATGTTATTGCAAGTGGCAGGACCTCTTGTTTAAAAGCTGAATAATACTCTAGTGTGTGTGTACTGTAATTTCTTTATTCTACCACCAATGGACATGTAAGTTGTTTCCATATCTTGGTTGTTGTGAATGATACTGCAATGAATGTGGGACTGCATGTATCTCTAGGAGGTGCTGATTTCATTTCCTTTGGATGTATGTCCAGAAGAGATATTGCTGGGTCATAAAGTAGTTCTATGTTTAATTTTTGGAAGAATCTCCATGCCATTTTCTATAATAGCTGTACCAGTGGACATTTCCATCCCAACAGCAAACAAGAATTTCCTTTTCTCCATACCCTTGCCAACACCTATCTTTTATCATTTTGCTTAATGTCCATCCTAAGAAAAGTGAGGTGATATCTCATTGTGGTCTTAATTTTGCATTTCCCTGATGATTAATGACATTGAGCACTTTTTTCTACACCTGTTAGCCATTTTTATGTCTTCTTTGGAGAAATGTCTATTCAGGTCCTTTGTCCATGTTTTAATTAGGTTATTTGGAATTGGAGGTGGTTGTATTATTTTGTTTTGCTATTTTGTGTAAGCTCCTTATATGCTTTGGATCTTAACCCTTTATCAGATACGTGGTTTGTAAATCCATTCTTTCAATCGATTGGCTGCCTTTTTATTTTATTAATTGCTTCCTTTGCTATGCAGAAGCACTGTTTTTCGCAAAAAGCCTGGGCATAAATAGTCCTTTAT